ACCTCCTGTCCCCTCTTCCCCCTTCGCGCCCTTTCCTTGGGCTCTTCCTCCCGCGGCTTGGGCTGGGGGTGGCCAGGCTCGGCCGCGGCCGGGTCTTCGGCGCGCTGGTGAGCGGGCTGAGGCCGACAGGCTGCCGCGCCAGCTCCGGGCGCCGCCAGCCCGAGGCACCTGTGCGCGCACGCACCGCCGACAGCCCGATCGCCGCGGCTCCCAGACTCGGATCCGCCGGCGGTCGCCTTGCCTCGCTGTCCTTTCTGGTCAGATTACGGTCATGCCTGTGCATCCATGACATCTGTGCACGCCCCTATTGCTGCCTGCTTCCCCGGGCGCTCTTTGGCACAGGGTGTCCGGCCAGAAGGAGCCGCCGGCGGGGAACTCGATGCAGGCAACCGTCGCCAGCTCCTTGGAGCAGTTGCTTGGGCACGGGGGGCAGTGTTTGCCTCCTGGGTTGACCAGCTAATGAGGTAAAAAAATATATATATATAAATATATTAGTAATCCTCTGACCCGATTTCTTGGGACCATTCTCAGTAATCTAGGGAGGTTTCAGTATGAAGGGCACAGGGGCAGTCAACTGCCCTCTGCCTTGGCGCTCCTCTTTTCTTTTTTCGATATCCTAAAAAATCAGGACACGACTTAGCCAGTTTAAGCGAAATATTTCTTATTTTTTAAAAATTGCAGAGCTTTTTGTTCTTATTCACATTCTCCTAGAATTGGCTTTGCTTTCCTGTTAGGATTTGCTTTGCTTTATTAGACTGTGAGACAGTCCTGTTTGTCGCAAACTGCAAAGACTCGCATGAAAACATACTGTAGCGCCTGTAAGCTCAGTATCGAGAGGGTGAATCCACACTTTGGTTAAATGGACGTTGTTGACTGATTTCCGTGAACTGTATTTAGTTACATAATCTTCAACTGGTAGTTGNTAAGGGTAAAGGAATATAGACCCTTTGCAAATTCTAGATGACTATTTTCCCCTCTCCTTTTCCCAGGAAACTAGAGGAGAAAATTTTAATTTGGTTAATTATGAGTAATTATAAAAAAGAATGGGAACAGTATCAACACAATAATATAGGAGAAACATATAGAGGGGCACCAAAAATGACCAATTGTTGAAGAACAACCATAACAATGTTGCCATGGAGAAGTTGAAAAACTTGTTCTGACATTCTGCCATGAATTTTCATAAGGACACAGTGAAGGGATTGCTTCTGTGAATGAAAACTACAAGGCTTTAGGCAAGAATTTCATTGGGTGGGGTTGAAGCTGCAATAGAAGATAATGACCAAAAGCTGGTAAAATTTAAGTAAAAAGTAAAACTAAAATTATAACATCACAAATTAAGAATAAATATGGAAGAACACACACCGAGATAAACATCATATGGGAAAGAGGACAAAAAATAAGAAAGACTAGTAAAAGGAACTTGAAATAAAGAAAGAGATGAACAGGATTAGAGAGAATATGAAAGATGGAGAAGACAGGTGAAAATAAGAAAATACAAATTATGAAAAAGAATAAATCTTCAATATTATTAAAGAAAAAAACATTCTTGAAGTGAAAGACTTGAAATTTCATTTTTAAAGGATACAGCGATCACTAAAAAAAATTTGTCACCACGAAGATGTATCATAATACAATAACTAGAATGTAATTATAATAAAGAATCTTTGGGGTTGAAAGAGATGAAAAAAGCAATCACTAGCAAACAAAGGAAAATATTGAGATTGGCTTCAAGATTCTTCACTATAACAAGATACCAAAGTCCACAAAATGCCAGCATGAGTTAAGGCTTTTCTTATTTAGCTAGTCCTTCAAGTATCTTATCTTCCCTGGTGACTCAGAGGTTAAAGCGTCTGCCTCCAATGCGGGAGACCGGGTTTGATCCCTGGGTTGGGAAGATCCCCTGGAGAGGGAAATGGCACCCCACTCCAGTATTCTTGCCTGGAGAATCACATGGATGGAGGAGCCTGGTGGGCTGCAGTCCACAGTCTCACAAACAGTCAGACAGGATTGAGGGACTTCACTTTCACATTCAAATGTCATAGTTGTAAACAAAGTTTTCAACATCCAAGAACGAAGCGAATGTTATTCTCATGAAGCTATCTTCAGAATAGAGCATGGATTTTCGCTTCTAAGTGATAAATGGAAATGATAATCTTGGATCAAGGACTGTTTGTGAGCATTGAATGTATTTAATTATTGACTTGAAATATGAGAATGTAAGAATTAGAGCAAAATGATAGTATATAAATCTCATAGATGCAGACAATATAATAATATATATCTAAACAGAATTTGGATGAGAAGGGCAAGAAGAAAAAGATAAGATATAAAGTCATTGATTATCTAAAGCTGGGAGTCAAAGAAAATCATCCAAAGGGACAAATAAGTGGTCTAACATATTTAACAATACAAGAATAAACTGTAATCAAGATAGTATTAAATACTAATTTTTATCATTACTTGTTTTAGCAAACTAATAGATACACTGTAATAATAGAAAATGCAGTTGTTTTTGCATTAGTAACGAAGTAATAAAAGGATCAAAGAATAGACCATAAACACTGAGAATACACATATATAGAAATAAATTTTAAAAAACAGATCACAGAGTGAAGGAATTTTATGAACTTAAAATGCAAAAACCTAACATAAAACAATATAGCAGAATTAACAGTAAACATATCCTTCATATTATTAAATATGAGTAGGATTATCTCATCCTCTATAAGAAAGTAGACATTTTAGATTGGATAATGAAACAAAATAAAATTTTATACCTACAAGATAACTCAGAATATTAGAAAATAAAAGGATAGGCAAACATAACATACTCCTGATTGGAGGCTAGGTGTCATACAAACCAGAAACCCATTAAACAAAATGAAGGATAATTTATGATTATAGTAATAGGTACTTTCATATGCATACAAAAGAATTATGAATACCTATGTCTGGAGACGGGAATGACCATCCACTCCCATATTCTTACCTGGAGAATTCCATGGACAGAGGAGCCTGGCAGGAATATCGATGTACCAAACAGTATAACACCAACATGACTACTGAATCGGCCAAAAAGTTCGTTCTGATTTAAAGCCTGAACGAACTTTTTGGCCAACCCAACATATCAGAAATTATACACATACAAGATAGCATGAAGTACACTATTAGTAGGAGCCTTAATACTTTTAATACATGAGAGTCCACTTGTGCAGACAATAAGCAAAGATATTAAAGATTAAATATTCTATACTCTTTCCAGCCCTAACTTACTTAGGAGCATCAGTGGAAAATTCTAGCTAAAATATTAACAAATAAACCCTAACACATTAATTAATTAAAGAGTATTAAAAGAACAAGATGTCATCACCAAGTGTGATTTTTCTCTCAAAAAATATAAGGGAAACAACATTTCTATACTAGAAAATTTATTAAAATACTGCACCACTTCCCTCATCTATAAAATGAAAATAAAATATCAGTACCCACTTTATAGGAATTTTTACAATGATTTAAAGAGTTATTGCACACAAAATCTTTAGCAAGAGTGCCTGAAATATAGTCAGCTCTTCATAAATGTTATCTGTTGTGTTTATCAGCTTTCAAAAGATATTGAAAACTGATTATGCTTATGATAATAATATAAATCTTGTTTTCATTTTCTTGAATAACTTGTGTTGTTTATTAATGTTGCATTCTCATCTTTTGTCCCTTCTCCTCAGGGTTTTCATTATTAATTTTTAGATCCTGTGGGTTTTTTTATATTATTATTAAAACACTGCTAAGCTTTAAAATCAATTTGCAAATTCTGAGTATACTGAAAACTATCCATTTAAAAATAATTTTGATTTATATTACTAATATTTAAGCGCATTCTCTCTCTTTTTTCATAGACTTAATTTTTTTGAAAAGTTTTAGGTTCATAGCAAAATTGGGTGGAGGTAGAGAGTTCAGTTATATCTGTATTCCCGTCTTACACATACCCTCTCTCACTATTTACATTCTGCACCAGAGTGGTACATTTTCTCCAAATGATGAACTTATAATGAAGCAGAGTTACCCCAAGTCAACAGTTTACATGAGGATTCAATCTTGGTGTTGCACATTCTGTGGGTCTAACAACTGTGCAATGACATGTCCACCAGTGGAAAATCATACAGAATAGTTCCACTCCCCTAAAATCCTTTTTTCCACCTATTTCTCCCTCCTTCTTCCCTAACCCCTGGGAACCACTGACTTTTTCATTTCTTTTGCCTTTTCCAGAATGTTACACAGTATGTGTAACCTTTTCAAATGGACTCCTTTTACTTAGTAACATACACTTAAGGTTCTTCCCTGTCTTTTCATAGCTTTTCCGCCCCATGAATTCTATTTTTAAAAATATTAAGGCTGTTACTAGCTTTGGTTTTGCTAATTTTGGACTAGTATAACTTACTGTATGTGTGTGTGTGTGTGTGTGTGTGTGTGTGTATACACCTATACACCTCATTTTTCAGTCCTTCTTGTTTAATAAACGTCTGAAGGATGAGCTGCAACTCATAATGCAAATGTGGCCAAAGTGTCTTTTTGTTTTTCTGCTTTAGCCTTTTCATGTAATGGATCAAATCTCAACACGAGACTCTAAGAAAATTTGTACTCCATTGATAGGTTCTTTCCAATATTGCTAGTGTTAGTCTAATTTTTATTTCTGTTTAAGTAGCCACTCTTACTGTTCACTTGTGAACAATATTGATTTATATCTATTCTTCTCAGAAGTGTCACATGAATGTTTCATACTATTTGACACTTGGTAGGCTTTTTCCAGGGCTTCCCTGGTGGTTCAGATGGTGAAGAATCTGCCGGCAACGCAGGAGACCTGGGTTTCATCCCTGGGTCAGGAAGATGCCCTGGAGACGGGAATGGCTACCCAATCCCGTATTCTTGCCTGGAGGCTTCCTTAGGCAGAGGAGCCCGGTGGGCTACACTGTCCATGGGGTTGCAAAGGGTTGAACACAACTGAGCACCTATCACAGACACAGGATTTTCCCTGTGAAAATAATTAAATCTTTAGTTCTAGGAAATTGTTACCAATAATTTTTTAAAACGCTCTCCTGTCTGGTTTTTTTTTTTTTTTTTCATTTTCTTCTATGAATTGTCTTAGACAAATATGAATAAAGAGTTAATATAGCCTGTCTGATCGCTCCATTTTTGTATACCTCCATGTAAGCCTGGTTCCATGATTGACCCAAAAATGTCTTTGAATGTGGCTGTTAGAAAACTTTTCAAGTTAATGATTATTCTTTTACACACCTAGAAGAGTGAACTGTGTTGCTTATTCTACCTTGTCAGGATTGCCTTGCACAAAAATTGAGACTGACGATGTGCACCTGGTATCTTTTTTTTGGGGTGCTGGGTTTCAATTATCATGATTGCTTACTTAGCAGGATATGCTTATGTGACAGCCACCTGAAAGCCTCAGACA